CCTCCGCCCCCCACCCTGTGGTCTTATTTATTAAAACATGTATTTGCTGCCATTCAACTCATTTGGATTTCAGAGTGGTATACAATCGGTTTATATCATAAAAAGATAATAAAACAAAATTTTAAAATGCCTGAGTGAGTAAAAATGTTGGTTGGCACTGGAAAGACTGCAGTGTTGGTAGAAGCTGAGCCTCTATAGGGAGGGCATTCCATAACTGGGGTGCCACTGCTGAGAAGGCCCTTTCCCTTACTGTTGAATAGCAAATCTCTGATGAAGGAGGCACCTGGAGAATGAACATCAGTAGAAGATTTTAAAGCACAGACAAGTTAATATGGGAAGCCATGGTCTTTAACATTTAAAAAAAATGCATTGCAGATTAAAATCCTGCCATTCAGCTGTTTGGCAGGAAAAATAGCAGGTCTGAATCTATTCTATTTTGCTCTCCTGAACAGGTGATATGCAGAATTCTCACCTTTTTCAATAGAGCTCCATAGATGCAGGGGCAATAATGGTGGCAGAGCAACCAAGAAATACAGAACGGTTGGGGTTTGCCAGCCTTAGTAACAGCTGCCTCATGGACCACTCCTCTGTGCTGAGTGAGTTGAGGCTAGCACTAGGATTGTACTAAAAGTCAGACAATTTGCAGTGAACTAGGTCTATAAAGTCAGAAGGACAACGGAGAGAACACTGGAACAGAATGATGTCATACCAACATCATCTGGATTCTCCAACATTCCCAAGTGAGCAAGTTATGTCACTTCTGGAGAAAACAGCTATATTGGTAGCCCTTCCAGTGCCATGGATTTCCAATGTAATGTCTAGTTGCTTTGTCATCATTTTGTAGAAGGTATGCAGATTTGAGCTTAGCTTGGCACTGAACATGCAAAACAGGTGCCCCAGTTACGCTGGCTGATATAAAAATAAAAAGATCTCTTAGCTTGTTAATATGGAGAAGATGAAAACCACAGTTGGCAGCAAGGAATTGTGGTCAGCATGTCCCTCAAATGGCTTGTGCAATAAATTGTCATTCTCTTCTCAAAATAAAATCCAGAGGTAAGAAGGGATATTGGAGATGTGGAGATCATGCCAAACCCTTCCCTCTGCTGAGGGATTGTGGTTGGAGAACTGCTTGTGTTGAGCTTGTAAAATTCACTCCGCTCCTGATGACTAAGAAGCACTGAATGCCACTGTCCTGATGACTAAGAAGCACCGAGTGCAGCATCTTCCTCCACCTCCTGCTTTAAAATATTTTAAATGGCAACCTTATTCAGGCCTCTTGGCGTCAATTCAAGTATGTGCATGCATGCAGTTCAACAAACCCAAAAATGAGACATCAGTTTTTTACATTGCAAATTTAGCACTGAACATTGTTTCATGAATTTATGACAGCTTTCTGTCCTTGTAATACACTTGTAGCCTGACATTGTTAGGAGGAGCAGCATCAAACCTTGCTCAGAAACATTTACTACAGCCAAACATTGTGTGAAAATCAGAATAAACCTGCATTTCAAGCTGCAATCCTATGCACGCTTATTTGGGGAATAAAGTGTTCAAGGATGCTTATGTCCAAGTAAACAGCGGGCGGGCAGGAAGGTGACGTCGGGACGGTGCGTGACTAACGCACGCACCGCCCCCATGCAACGTCACAGCCAGTACAGCGCCCGCCACAGTGGGGAGTGTCGGGGCGCACAATGCTCCTCCTCCCCTCGCTAGTATCCGCCCCGGAGCCGCGGCAAAGGTGTAAAAGAGCCACATGCGGCTCCGGAGCCGCGGGTCACAGACCCCTGGCCTAGGGCTTGCTGATCAGAAGGTCGGCGGTTCGAATCCCCGCAACGGGGTGAGCTCCCGTTGCTCGGTCTCTGCTCCTGCCAACCTAGCAGTTCGAAAGCACATCAAAGTGCAAGTAGATAAATAGGTACTGCTCCAGCGGGAAGGTAAACGGTGTTACTGTGCTGCTTCGCCAGCAGTGGCTTAGTCATGATGGCCACATGACCCAGAAGCTGTCTGCGGACAAACGCTGGCTCCCTCAGCCAGTAAAGTGAGATGAGCGCTGCAAACCCAGAGTTGTTTGCGACTGGACTTTAACAGTCAGGGGTCCCCTTTACTCTTTACCCGAGTTGTAAAAGCTGGCTTAGAGACCACAATATCCAACAAATCCTTTGGAATACTTAAAAAAATCCACCTTTTTAATATCAAACTTTTTAGACACTATTAATGCGGAAGTAGTTTTTGAAAGATGAAAGCAGTGTAGAGTCTAGGCCAGTTGTGATCTGGATGGGACCTTCAGTAACTCATGCATACATTTCTCTTCCTATTTTGCCATTTTACCCATGCCTTGTTTTTGCAGTTAGGAAAACACTTAAGCAACATCTGCCTGCTGTTTATGCTAGGCTAAGTGGAGCTTTGTATCTAATCGATTGAACCTTGATTCCATTTGATCAAATGACCTGGGTAAAGGTATAATTTATCATGTGGATAATTTGCAGATTGTCAGGGACTATCCTGAAAAGAGCTGCACTGAGGAGGAATGGTGGGAGCCGCCACCCCTCTCCTGGTCCTGAATCTTCCCAGGAGCAGGAGGACAGTATAGCTTTGGAACGGTGGTTTGCAGAGGGGCATAGTTCAGAAGGCAGAAGCTGGGAAATACTGGATGGGGAACAGCTAGCAGATCTAACACTAGAAGAGAGAGAGTTAACAGATTCACAATCTCTGGGTACTATCCACCCCCCTTCCCCAAAGTCCCAGAGAGCTCAGAAAGTGGCAGAACAGAAAGCACAGAGGCTAGAATCTCAGATTACAAAACATAGGAGTGACGTAGATTAATAGGGACGGAGGGGGGAGTGACCTTAATTGGGAGCACCGCCATTCTGGTTAGATACTTTCTTTTGACCTTCGCTGTGTTTATTAAAGAAACTAACTGGTAAGAATTCCCTTTCGTTTGATCTGCTCATTTACGGCCACAGGGGAGGAAGCCGATCCCCCAAAGCCTGACACCGGTGCAGGATCCTGGATTTATCAATCACTGGTGAAAATGGTCTAGCATTTCACAGCCAGGAAGCCCCTGGAGTTTTCCAGGATAAGACTGCAGTTCTACTCATCCTTAGATAATAACGCAAGTCCCACTAATCACACTGTGAATTGCTTCTGAGTTAAACATGTACAGTGGTGCCTCGCAAGACGAAATTAATCCGTTCCGCGAGTCTCTTCGTCTTGCGGTTTTTTCGTCTTGCGAAGCACGGCTATTAGCGGCTTAGCGGCTTTAAGAAAAAGGAAACAAACTCACAAGAACTCGCAAGACGTTTCGTCTTGCGAAGCAAGCCCATAGGGAAATTCGTCTTGCGGAACGACTCAAAAAACGGAAAACTCTTTCGTCTTGCAAGGCATTCGTCTTGCGGGGCACCACTGTATGTGATTGGGCGGCCTACAAGCACCCTGAGTTTTTAGATTCATCATGCTCTCTAATAAATATGTATGTAGCCTCTAAAAACATGCTAATCTTTTATGGCTGGAACCTGTTCTGTCTTTTGGTGCTGCATGGAACTTGTCATTATGGCCTACTAAGTAGGCTTTGCCCATCGTTCTTCCTGCTGCTACCGTTTCAACAGCTTTAAATGGTCACCACTGAGCCAGGGTGCTATATGTACAATCCAGACTGAATTGGAGCTACAGTGGTACCTCGGGTTACAGACGCTTCAGGTTACAGACTCCACTAACCCAGAAATAATAATAATAATAATAATAATAATAATAATAATAATAATAATTTATTATAATAATTTATTATTTATACCCCACCTATCTGGCTGGGCTTCCCCAGCCACTCTGGGTGGCTTCCAAAAAATATTAAAATAATGTAATACATCAAACATTAAAAGCTTCCCTAAACAGGGCTGCCTTCAGATGTCTTCTAAAAGTCTGGTAGTAGTTGTTCCTTTGACATCTGGTGGGAGGGCGTTCCACAGGGCAGGTGCCACCACCGAGAAGGCCCTCTGCCTGGTTCCCTGTAACTTGGCTTCTCATAGTGAGGGAACCGCCAGAAGACCCTCGGCGCTGGACCTCAGTGAAATAGTACCTCGGTTAAGAACTTTGCTTCAGGATGAGAACAGAAATCTCGCAGCGGTGCGGCAGCAGCGGGAGGCCCCATTAGCTAAAGTGGTGCTTCAGGTTAAGAACAGTTTCAGGTTAAGAACAGACCTCCAGTACGAATTAAGTTCTTAACCCAAGGTACCACTGTATTAGTAGTACAGGACCTCACAGGAAATGGGTTGATGCAAGGAAGCTCTGCTTCCCCCTTGAGGAGCTGTGTGGAAAATGCAGAAGTCTCATGTGAGAGCTGAGCCAGTGGTCAGCTGTGGAGCAAATCCACAGGTTGTCAATGATCACAATCTGTAACGTGCTCCACATGTGTCTATAGACGTAACCAGTGATAATCTTCAGGTCCTCTGTGTGCTGCTGTAAGGGGTAATGTGTATATGATTGTGTTTTACCCACATCATTCATGTGCAGAAATTTTTAGCAGAGCTAATTTTACATCTTCATTATTGACTACTAGAAGCTGTCTATTTCACTTGGGCCTCATGGATGGTGGAGCGAAACAGTTTTTTCAACTAAACCTCCAACTGAGCTTTCCTTTAAGTCTGAAGTAGAAGCTGGGAAACCTAGAAGTCCCTGCCCACCCTCAATGCCATGTTGGTGGTGGTTGGGGGTGCATTAAGGTAAAGGGACCCCTGACCATTAGGTCCAGTCGTGACCGACTCTGGGGTTGCGGCGCTCATCTCGCTTTATTGGCCGAGGGAGCTGGCATACAGCTCCCAGGTCATGTGGCCAGCATTATTAAGCTGCTTCTGGCGAACCAGAGCAGCGCACAGAAACGCCGTTTGCCTTCCCGCCGGAGCGGTACCTATTTATCTACTTGCACTTTGACGCGCTTTCGAACTGCTAGGTTGGCAGGAGCAGGGACAGAACAACAGGAGCTCACCCCGTCGTGGGGATTCGAACCGCCAACCTTCTGATCGGCAAGTCCTAGGCTCAGTGGTTTAACCCACAGCAGTGAATTAAACATCTTTAAAAAGGGACTAACTTGCACAGATGTTCCAAACAAAGCCATGCATGCTGTGTCAGAAGGGCACTTAAGGCTGCTTCCTGGATCTGCCTTTTGGGGTTTTGTTTCTTTAAGTGTTTTCATTTTCAATTAACCAAAGCCTCAGGACAAACACATAGATCAACATGAAGTCAATGCAACAGCATAGTCACATTTGTAACCAAAGAGTGTCTTTCTGGAAGTATCCCTTTGTTGCTGGTGGGAAAAATCCATGCTCCTTCATGACTGCATAATTATTAAGACTGCCCCAAATGATACTAAAATCATCTGTCATTACTTTGACACGCCTGGACTTGGTGAGTTTCTCCATTATTCCAGACTTGCTGATGCCAGTCAGTTATTAAATGAGCATGCAAAATTCTGCAGTTCCTGGATCAAAAAACCCAATGGGACTTTTTAAACCTTCTTTTTCCCCAATACATTAAAACTGCCTGGGAGAAAAAGTCCCCCAACAAAAACAGCAAAAATATACTTCTTGGGTTGGTTGGTTTGTTGTTGTTGATTTTTGTCTCAGGTGCTTTTTGTGTACAGAAATGCTCACTTAAATGGTAAGTGGCTGGAATTTGGGGACAGAAAGGCTGCATTATACATCTATTTCTTCTCTAAATTCTACAGTAAAAAGCACAACTGGGCTAAGGTCCTGAACACACACACACACACACGGAAAAGCATAACTTGACAACAATATATATGGGCGTGAATTCAGCCAGCCTCCATTCTGGTTGAGGTCACACAGGGAGAACTGAAGTGTTCAACACTTACTGTCCGAAGTGACAACATTATGGGGCTGGAGGAGATAGGGATAACTAGATTAGGATTTTTTTATATATTAAAAAAATGGGAAATGCATGTGACTGTTAAGATTCCTCTAAAACTACCTTCTGGAGAATATTAGCTTTAAAAATTGTCCTTTGGACACTGCTAGTTCTTGGCTGGAGATGGACAAATGGTTATTTGAAATAGCTGTTGGGCAAAACAGTGCTTTCCAGTCTACATTTCTTTCCTACATTTTTATCCTACGTGCCTTTCAGGGCAGTGTAGCTTCATGGCTGAGGGTTTTTCTGGATGAGTTGCTTCTAATGTCTTTCCGGCTCTTTGAGTATGTCCCAGTTGCTGCATCCGGCAAAATACCAGGCAAGGGTAAGATTATCTGAAATGTCAAGGAAGAGAAACTAACCAAAGTCTTTGGCTGTATTGCAAATCCCATCTTTAGAGAGGTATTGCTCACTGATCACAACTTCTGATACCTGGCATAGAGGCACGTTTACTTTGCAGTTAATGCGAGATGGGTTTCACACATGTATTTTCTTGATCAGCTTCCAGAACAATGGGCAGATATAACTGCAGGGCAGTTTAGTTAACATCCCTACTGTGTCCTGCTTCCCATTTGCCCAGTTACAGGACTGGAGGCAGGGCTGGACTTCTGGGATCCCTCAGACCCCGTCAGCTGCAGCTCATGCAGTGCATCCTTAATCACACCCCCTGCACAGGGTGGGTGGGTGGTGGTAAATGTTACCAGTTATATTGATAGAAATAACAGAGGCTGACTGTTCCATTCATCTTCTGTTTTCATGTTCTGTTTGGAAGAGAATGTGGATGCACCCAATACTTCAACATTGTTCTCTGTAGAGTTTGGGAACTGCTGTCCTGCATCTGGTCCTCCCTCCCTCCCCTTGTCTTCCTTAAGAAGGTGACTGAAAGGCTGAAGCCTGTTTCCATCTCTCTAGGTGATGGTTGGGAGGAGAATCACCATGCCGGTCAATCAACAGCAGAGCCTCTCCTGTTACAGAGCCAGGATCCACTGCAAGAGGTCACGGTTGGCAAAACCCAGCTACAGCAGCTCTCCCTGGGCAGTGCTGCCAAACAGGAGCGTGATATGGTATGTGGAGCAAGCAGCCTGTACTTTCCCACCCAGAGAAAGAATAGAAGGGACTGCTTCCCTGCTGGCATTCTGGCTTCCTGCTCTGTACGGACCTTCCTCCACAGGAAAGTGATGCTAGAAGAACTGAGGAACCTGCACATTGTTGCTCTTAACTGTCTGCTTCTATTTCTCTCTCTCTCCTTCTCACACCACCAAATTCCTACTTACAGAAAAGCATGAGGTATAATCTTTCTGGGATTGCATATTTTCATTAAGCCAGAGAAGGATCTCGTAATTGAATACTTCCTCATGGTTTAACTTTAACACATACTCATAGCCTTCCTCCCTATATGGGAAGCCAGCGTATCGCTCCCTGCCATGCTAGCACTTTTATACGGTGCCTTCTGTATAAACCCTTGACTTGTAAAGCAGACCCAAACACTTGTATTTAAAGCACTGTTAAACCCAGGCTGAATACACTGCTTGACTCTCTGGCTTCTGTCCACCTATGGGTATCATAGCTCTTTTGTCAATCCAATAGCAGGGAACCTGTGGCTCTCCAGATGATGTTAGACTACAACTTCCATCATCCCTCTCCATTGGCCATGCTGGCTGTGGCCAATGGAGTGATCTAATAACATCTGAGAGGCCACAGGTTCCCACCACACCTTAACTACTGTCCTCTTTCTGTTTGGCAGGCTCCTTGCCGCAGGCACCTGGCAGCCATCTTGCAGGAGTTGAAGGCCCCGCTCTACCAGAATGGTCAAGACATCTTCATTCCCAACTGTGACACCAAAGGGTTCTACAGGCGTAAGCAGGTATACTGAAAAGTTGCCTAGAGGCAAAGTGAGCTACTCTTGGGCTTTTATAGCAAGCCATAACTCTGAGTAATAAGCTGAGTAATTTCTCAGTTGGTTTAGTGTTCTGGTTCTTTTGGCTTCAACTTTCCTACCAGAATCTTATGTTAAAAATATCCAGTCTCTCCCACTGTGTATACAGGCAACTCCCCATATACACAGAGGTTGTGCTTTGAGGCACTGTGTGTCAGTGGGATGCATGTAAGCCCACCCTACCCCATCCTGCCCCACTGCAGAGCCGAAGTGGCTTGCGCATGCCGATCACGCACAGATGGGGAATTGCCGGGATCCATGGGCTAGAGAAGCTGCTGTTCCACAGTAGTCTTATCTTCCACTAACATCATTGCCCCCTACAGTGTCAGGCATCCAAGGGACAGAAGAGAGGCCAGTGCTGGTGTGTGGATAAGAGAGGCCGCCGGTTGGAGGGCATGGAAGAAAAACCCCTTTGCCTGCTTCCCAATGGCGACTGAGCGGTTGGGAGTAGAGTGCTCCAGCAGCAGAGATGCTTGTCCAGGAAGAATCGCTCTACTAGAACTGTTGCAAATATTTGCTTTTAACTTATTGTGCTGTTGCTGCCTTGCTGGGACCTTGCATTCCCTGGAATAACCTTGGAGCAGCTGTTGCATCTGATAATTTACAGAAGGGTGGAGGAGCCTGGACTGGCTGCATCACAACACGGGCCAAGAGGAGGCTTCTGACTACATGACTAAAGATGTTTTCTTGGATAAGCTATCAGTGGTTGCACTGCAAAGATAAGCTGGCACCTAAGCCAGCTTTACATTTAGTAGATGTTGCGTGCATCCTATGTTCTAAGCCGGTAGGGAGACAGGAGTAGCCAGATACTGGGTGTGGGGAGGAGAACCAGGGCTGATCTAAAGCTTTTTACCAAGCTAGAAGTAATAGGAGAAATGGGAAAGGAGACAACTTTGTAAAAAGAGATGACCATAGAGAGCCCCCAAGGGCACTATGAAATGGGAAAGGATGAGAACAGCAACCTCACACCATTACCAACACCTAGAATTATAATGAGATAGTGTGGAAGGGATAAATGGTACGGGGCACTGGGACACTCGTGGTTGTTCTTTCCCCACTAACACCTGCTTGGTCCTTAGCCTGCCCTCTGTATCATGCTGCCTTACAGCTTCCTCTCAAGTGGAGAGAGCTACATGGTTGCCTGGGTTTTCCCTATTCTCTGCCATGTGCTTCAATTGGGCAGGGGGTTGGATTCTGTATGTTTCACTGGCACTGGATTCAATAAATCTGAGGACTATATAACATGCTTGCTATTAGTCCTAAAGACTGGTTTTTCTTTGGCTTCTGAAAATCTCCTGGCACCAACAATGAAAAGGATCCAGCTAAAGAAATAAACCTTGTCCCTAAGAAATGCTTGGAAAAGATGAAAAGGTCATAATTGCATCTGGTAATTAGAACTGCACCAGCATTTTTGTGGGGGATTTTAACCGTTATTATTGTTTGCACCTAAGCATAACCTGCCACATTGTTTACTCAGGAAACCTGTCTGCTAAACAATTAGTAGCAAATAAAGTAAGTTGGGAGGCTACCATCAGTTCTGAGAGGTCCAAGTTCTACAAGGAGGAGCCCTGTGGGTGCTACTTTACATAATAGCATGCTCTGTTCCTTCATGGATTTGTGGCATCAGTCTCCAGTGAACTCACCGAAAGGAAGCTGAAGTCAGGTAGGGCTATCCCAAGAGCTACTATGGTTAATGCTTTTCCTCTTCTCAGTAGCAACCACCCTTCTGCGTGTGACAAGACAGAAGGGTGTGGGATAGAGCTGGGCTGCTATCTACTCTTTTTCTCCCCCCCCCCCGCCATGTCCTTTCTGATGAATGTGGTTACTCTATATTACCTCACTTGTATGTTTTTTAAAGGAATCAAATTCAACAAGTGAACACTTGTGCCTGGCCTTCTGTTAGAACTGCATCTTGTCTCTAAGCTGAGTTGTTTAGAAGTTCTTTGTAGTCAATCTCTTCACCATGCTCTGGAAGCAGGGAAACTAGTCTGGGGCACAGAGTTCAGTCACCCAAGTTCAGTCTTGGGCTTGTGTGTGTTTTTTAAAAAGCAAGTTTCTCGCCCTTAAGGTTAAACATGAGCAGATTTGATTAGAGGGTTGCTATTGCTACCCTTCCTTGGGCACTAGACGTGTGGGTGCCATTACTATTCTGCAAAACCCCTATGGCCTTGCATGCCTAAGGCATATTATTCCCACCAGTGCCTTTAGCCCTTGGCTAAAAAATAATGTGTAGAAGTTAGATCCGCATAAATTGCAGGCTTGCTGTATAAGGAAGCATCAACCAGGCCTTTCTGATCAAGCAATAACAGCAATCACCACCTGCAAGAAGATTCTCATGTTTGGGGGCAGGTTGTTGTTCTTCAATAAAGCTTCCAACTCACAAGTGGTTTATTGTACATAATGCTAGAGAGCAGTCCAACAAGCAAATAGCTGCTTGGAACAATCAAGAGGCAATTTTAGACAAAAAACAAAGCAGAGGTTTCTACTAAACCTTCCATAAGAAGGTGGAAAGGTTTACCCCTCACACCATCACAAGTTTCATTTTCTACCAAAAAAGACTTTATTAAAAATCTTAACCGTCACTACACAACCGAGAAAGCATTGATATGGCATATCAGTACATTCACAGTCAAAAGTAACTTTTTTAAAAATACTGACCACCTCCTATGAGAAATAAAAGAGAAACACACACTTATTGAAACCTGTCTGTAGGCAGTTTGACCACAGTTAGGAGGTATTCCCCTCCACCACTACCCCAGAAATACGGAATGGCTTATATCCCCAATTTGCATAGATCAAGTATCTTGCTTTTGTGACAAAGTGAACTCAGCATTTTGTATTGACTGTAACACTTGGAGGAAGACATTTTACACATACTGTTTCATAGAATGTAGAGCAAAAACCCTTGTTTTAAGTTTTGAACAAGTGAACTTTGCAATATACAAGGTCAGGTCTTCTGTCTGATCAGATCTGTCTAGCTCTCAATATGGGGAAAGGGCATCAGCAATTTACTCCCCAGCCCTGAATTTGGAACTGGAAAATCTTAAGGCAGTGGCCAAGGCCAGCCCCATGACATGTCTTCTCTCCTGCTCTTCCCCGTAGAGTCCAGTACAACTTGCTCTGGTCCCATTATCATAATGCTTCCCATTTCCTCACTTCCCATTTCCACATCACTAGCTGCAGCTAGTGGAGAAAGCACGGCAAAGTACATCAGGGCATGGGATAACTTGTACCATTTTGGATGCAGACAGGGGGTTGTGATTTTCAGAAGTAGTCCCATGTTTCTTGTAACACTAAATTCACTCAAAATGTATACCAACAGCATGGAGTTCTCCCCATTTTCTGACCAACTATATTGTTTTTATGATCTCTGAATATGGAGAAAAGGAAGAATTTCGATCCCAAAAATCCTGCTGACCAGGTTCTGCCAAATATACTGGGCAGCATTTGCACAAGTATCAGGCTACAGAGAAGAAACAGAATAGCCAGAACACAGGACATGACAGCTATTATCACCTTTTTGTGTTTGCTCATGTTGCTCCAAGACTAGGTAAATAAGGCACATATAACCAGTCAAATTCTCTGTCATATGCTGTCAACTATTTTGAGGGAGTTATTCCTGAAAGAACTTCATGGAGCCTCGTGCCACCCACTCTTGGAAGATACAATTCAACTGATCTCTGGAAAAACAACCATTTTGAAAATGTAGGCCTTTGCTACATTTCTCTGAAGAAACTAATTTGAAAAAGGCTCAAGGAATATGATAATAAGGACCTACACCTAAGTGAATCGGGTTGCCATTGTGTCTGTAATTCTTTAGGAAGTTAAAAAGGTGGTAGAATTTGATAGGCTTAGTCGCCTATAACATTTAACAGCTCTTTATTAGATTGTGCCAAGCTGCATCTGCTAAAAGAAACAAACCCCCGAGGATCTAACTTAGCTGTCAGAATTTTTAAAGCCAGGTGGTAATGAGAGGGCCAAACAGGTGCTTGAAAGTAGCAAGGCAAAAGTTATATCCTGTTATAGTACCTGTATCAGTTAGTTGGTCTTTTCTGACGCCAAATAGCAGCTTCAGAGAGCTATACAGGCAAACTTATGTTGGGAGGAAACTAGTTCAAAACAAACAAAAACACAGAAAGCAGTAGAAGGCCACCCAAAAAAATTGGTTGCATCTTGTTTGCAAGCAGACAAAATCCTGTTTGAGCTGAAACATGCATAATGTGGGTCATCTGCTGTTCATTAAAGAACTGGGCCAAGCACAAGATCAAGCTTGATAGCATAAGAAGAGTTGCCTAACAGATGATAAGCACAGGAGCCACCAAGGGGGCAGGATCTCTACCAACCACCACAGACACCATGAAAGTCAGACCTCGGACGACAGCATTCTGGGCTTCCAAGAAACAAAGTATGACACCAATTAAGGTACTTACGGCAAAGCCTAACTCAGCTGGACATTACACATTGCTGTAAGCCCTTCCTCTGGAGCCCCTGTCTAATCAAGGCAAAATAATTCATTACCGGCAGGTTTTAAATAGATTGTCACAACTCCACCTTGCTCCCCAGTTGCCTAGCCTCATTCACTCACAGCCCACAAGATACTGAGTCCAGGACTCTGCCCCACGTGTAGCTCACTGCACGTTCGGTTCATTGTTTAGTGCAGGCAGCAGGGCTTTAATATAGAACCCCAGCCCATTTGCCAGTCTGCCAAGCATATACACCTTGTTCTGTATGTGCCATCCACAGTAGACTAGGTATACATGTGCTCACTCTAACATGAGAGCAGCAACACTGCAACTCCTACCCCGTGTCAACAAGGGGCATTACCAACCAATCTATTTGCATGAATACTAGCCGGCTTTGTTTCAGAAACTCAGATGGTTCTGGGGCCAAAAGGTGTCCACGCGTTCCTCTTCTTCAAAGCTGTAGTCTCGCTCTCCATCTTCCTCTTCAAAGAGCTGATCCTCCAGAAAAGAACCTCCCAGCCCATATTCCTGCTCATGGACAGAGACCTCATTGGGGACCACATGCGAAGCACCTTCTACAAAATCAGCAAATCTGGGGGAAAAACCAGCAGAGAGCAGTGAGAGTACTGCAGCAACCAGCTGATGTCTGACTATTATTTAATGGCCTGCCATGAAATGCATGTAACATGGGCCAATTAAACATTTGTCAGACAATGTCCAAACTGCAGGCACGGCCAGGGGAATAGCCCCCATGTGTAGCATGCACTCAATAAAGCAATGCACACTTGGTAGTTTTTCCTGGCGTGTGGCACTAGCAGAGAAGCCAGCTTCAAACCTGCATCTCACCCTCCCCCTTAACTACCCCAGATCCCACCTCCCTCCTATGGCTGAGTTTGTAACCAGGCTATCCTTTTGAAGGCTCCCAAAGGGTATAAGGACCCCATAGCACCATGCAGCTTTCCCCTCCCATCTTCCAATCATCTTGGACAGTACCTCTTGGGAGACTGGATGCGGGAGACTGCTTTCCAGGCAGAGAATTCTGGGCTGCTGCAGTACTCCCGCAATTCCTCCAGGGCTCTGCGTGTCTCCACCTCCCCCTGTATCCGGTACTCCTCCTCAGTCAGCAGACGTGGTGGGCTGGGCTTTTCTGGGGCTGTGGAGACCTTCCTGCTAGGATAGCAATGACATTAGTGGCAGCTGCAAGTCTGAACATCAAAGTCTGGTGCCTTCCAAGAACCTTTGAGCAGCTCAGGAAACAGTGTTTACTCTGGAGCTTCACTAGAATAGGGTGCAACTGGGAGTCTGTACCAAAAGGGCACAAGACTGTGATTTTGGGCTAGGACTAGACCTTCTTCAGAAAGATTCTATCCCACTAGTCTTACTGCATTATCTTGATGGTTCTTCCCAAGACAGTCTTGTGATGCACAACAACTAAACACAATTTGGCAGTAATCGGAGTAGGGTATTCTTTGAATTAGTGAACACTAGGTAGACATTTGAACGGACCTCAGACCTGTGTGTCATTTTCTTACATCAGACCCAAAGAGAGACCTTTTACAGACTGACTGTCTTTTTAGGGCGATTCGCTCCCAGCCTCAAATTTTATGCCTTGCGCAGTCTTACGTCTCTTGTGTCTTACTGCTGTAAAGTTCAATTGAAAAGATGTTTGCCAGGTATTGTAAAGATATATGTTCTCATATGCTATGCTCATAGGCCCACCTGACAGAAGAAAAGACACAGAGAGCAGGAGGACCCAGGCATCTAAACATGATGCTAGTCTTTA